ACCTTGCTCAAGGAGGTAAGATGACATGTACTAGTGAGGAAAAAGAGGCTTCCATAGACTAATAAGCCCATGACCAAGCTGCTAGCAAGAGGCAGAGTTGGGATCTGAACATAGGTCTGCCTGTCTTTACAGCCCCAACACTTCACCACCACAGTATACTCCATATCTCAGCCAGAGAGACTGCTGAAAGTCTAGCAGATCATGGCAGTCCTCAGTTAAACTTTTTGATAGATTCCCATGATAGTGAAATGAAATCTGAGCTTCTCATGCTGGCCTATGGACCCCTACTGGGTCACTCCCAGCCCACCTCTCTCTTCCTTTGGCCACACTGGCCTAGGTCCTTTGCACCTGCTGTGCTTCAGTCTGCAAAGTGTCCATGGTGCTGAGCACCCTGCCTTTCATGGGGAAGGGTTCAAGAAGTGTCTGCCACATAACCACTTTGAGGATCTCCATAAAGACAGCTGCATCCTTCCCACCCTCCAAGAAGATCCTTGAGAGAGGCCACTTGGGAATGGTCCCCAGAAACAAGTGGCACAAACACCCCAACTGAGAGCCCCTCCACCTTCCTGGTTGGTGAGCATATAACACTGTAAAACTCAGACCAAAGGATCTGCCGGAGAACTTACCAGGTGGCCCTTCAAATAGGCCTGCAGCTTACAAAAACTTGCATGAGTTATTGGCAGCATGGGTGGAGGGACAACATGGCCTGTTAACATGTTCAGAGATCCCCAGAATGTCCTCCTAGGGCTACAACAATTTTCATTCTGAAGTGCAGACTAATTGGCAAATACAATAGCATTCCCTGTGCTCATGTGTCCTACATTTGTGCTCACTTTGCTTTTATCTTACTTAATTTGCAGTAATAGCGGCTGAAACTAATTTCTCGACTGTAAATATCACAGCTGTTGTGGAAAGCATTAATTGCCCACTATCACGTTACTCTCTGTTCTTGGATCAATTTATGTGTAATCTGTTTGCAGGTTCTATGACTATGAATATTAAGGGAATGCAACGTGAAATCATCTAACCAAACACACTGGAAACATTTGTACTGAAATGGCTGGATAGTTTGGGGTGTGGAAGTATTCTTGTTTGTGGCAGACATTGAAAGAATGCTTTTTAAAAGCCCTAGCCCAGAAGTCTTGACGCTGAGTGAAATATGGGTAATTTTTCTTTAGGGGGATCAATAAAATAACTATTTTCAAAATGACTTTATATTGACTGAAAGGTCAGAAATGCCCTGGGCATTGATCCCGTGTCCATAATCACTTTTTGTTTAGTAAGTTCACCGGCCCTATGCAGTTGAATGCAAAGAAATCCAGTTCATCATTTAAACAGAATATTTTTAAAGCATTTGACATTCTCTCATTGCCTGCTGGGGTCTCACTGGGAATGCCTTTCTTTGTCTAGGAAGTGGACCTCTACAGAATGAACAGTCAGGACAAGCTGGGCCTCACCGTGTGCTACCGCACGGACGATGAAGATGACATCGGGATTTACATTAGTGAGGTACAAAGGCTAATTTTTTATAACCATCACATCAAGACCAAAAGAGCTTTTTTCCCCTTTTATATGTTCACCAACTTAACTCTAGCTCATCAAGAAGTCTTTGGAAAGACCAGACAAATCACTTTGTCCCCTTTGTCATGCTCCACAGAATTACATCTTTACATGGGGGTTAAGTTCTAATGTCAGTACATGAGGCAAAATTACCCTTGAGAAGCCTGCAAACCAGCCATAAAATGGAGCCATTTATGTGGTTTTGTGTGTTCAACCCTCAGGGAACAGCAGATTCATATTTCTGGATGGAATCACTTACACTTTTTAAAGTCAGTCTCTCTTCTTTTTTTCTTTTGGTGGAGTGTATATAGTGGAGTTCATATAAGTTACATGTAACTGATATGTACTTATCAAAGTACATAGATGGAAGCTCTTTTGATCTTCCTAGAGAAGCCAGTGCAAAGCAACTGATTTCCATATAGAAACTTTACCACGCACACCCCTCCTTGCAAGCACAGAAAAACCCAATTTTGTCCAGAAATAAAATCTGTCTCTATAAGATGGACTATGGGATATGTCTACTAGGCTTAATAATTATCCCTTTGGATGCACATCATCCTCCAAGCTTCAGTTGATCCAGCGTTACTGTATTTGGGGGAAGTATACCTGTCCCATACTCAATCCCACTTGTCTCAATTTTATTTTATTTTTTAAGTTATTTTCCCAAATGTAATATAAGCATTTGGTATGAAATAAGGTATGGTTGCTAGTCAACATACTAAGGGTACCCTTTAACCTGTTCTACATCATTGATTACTATGTATGCAACAAAAGTCAGCTGTGCCTCTTCATCCCCTCAGGTGGCAGAGCCTATGCACACTGCTGGGTTTCATGGTTGCATGCAGAAATCTAAGAACAGGCCCTGGAAAGGGCTTGGAAACAGATCAGCCCATGTTTGTCTCTCCTTGCATGACACCAAGTCTTGTTTATTTCTGTGTGAAACAGAAGGCAGGAATGAGCATGACTAACTGTTAGAGATGGCCTTTAGAAAGTGCTGTTATTTATTTTCATGCTGAAATGTCTGCTGTGTGTTTCAGATTGACCCTAACAGCATTGCAGCCAAGGATGGGCGCATCCGAGAAGGAGACCGCATTATCCAGGTAGGTCTACTTCCAACTTGTGGCTTGT